TTTATCATACTAGTGCAGTTTGATAGTACTCAAATTTGTCAACTGATGTGGCAGATCAATTCATAAAGGCAAATACGTATAGCAATGACGACAATGATGGGTTTAGTGAAGTGTTAAAGGTGGTTCTACTAATTATTAAATTTAAATGACATAGAGAATATATAATGCGAAAACGGTTTGGGATTGGTGCGTATGCAATATATACGACTTGTATCATTGAAAATATATACATGGTAGGAACAGTAAATCATCCAGTCAAACAGTTGAACTCACCTGAACTATTTTGGGGATTTAGATCATTCAATAGATTTGACACATATAAGGCCATTTGTGACGATTAGCGATGATCCTGAAGTATCCAGATTAAACACGCAGTATGGCAACTAATTCCAGAGAGCTTGGTGGTGTTGACCTTTCTGTCACTCGCTTGAATCAGAACAAATGAAAGTGTTCAAATAATTATGCGGCTGTCATTGTATGAACCATCTAAAATGACCTTAAAATTGCAGATAATTTGTAGATTAAATTCGCCGTAAGTTTCTGCGATGTTATTCTTGTTGTTTGGTAACGGAACTAGAAAATTGGAAATTAGGCAGGCAGTGGTTGGGAGACAATATGTTACAGGATAATGCATAGCTAAAAACAGATTGAGACGTTGAGTGCACAATTCCAGTCAATACAAGCAACACAATCAAAAGGAGGAACAAACCAATATGGCTGCCGCCAAGACTAAGTATCAAGTAAAAGAACATAAACGCAGTTCAGGAAGAAACATGGAAACTTAGTGAAGGCGTATGAAAAATGAAAACTATGATAAAATACAAATATTACGAACTCAAATGTGATCAAGAAGATTAAGAAAATGTACAGCCAAAGGAATCAATAGGAACAAACTACAAGTGTATACATGGAGGGATTTTCACACATAAAACATTCAAAATAGATCTTACAATGCTATTAAAGCTTGTTAATGAACCATCGCATCCAATAATTCATATAGATGACTTGTATTATTATTATTGATTTAGCTAGTAAGTTATGAGTACTAATCAGCATTACAATACGTAATACACATGAGCATTAATCAGAGGATCAAAATAATAATAACAAAAGAAATACTAGTTCTTACAAACACCATAATTCATCGTTTGCAAAAAAAACCAACCACTGAAGATATTAGATTAAAACGTCTTAATATAGTGCAACGATTCAAATTAACCACTCGTTTATCTTATACAAAACGTCAAATTATTATCACTGCATTTAGGCAATCTGGAATTTCGTTGTACATTTAAACAAAAGACTACAACTATGAAGCATATTTTCTGTAGAATAAAATAATGATGCATGGTGCAGTCCCTAACTTATTACTAAATGATTACAATCAGCATTAGGATCTGTGTAGATTCAGTTGATAAGTACCAAATAGAACGAAACAAACGCTTACAATTTCATAGCTTTTTACTTAAAAGAAACAAACAATAAGTATATATTATGAGAAAATGATAGTGATGAATCTGCTTTCAAATGTCCTAATGTCGATCAATACTGAGAGCTTTAGGCATTAGGCCAATCGAAAATCCGATATTTTCTTGTCACTAGTACTTTACACAGTTATATTATTATGATAATTAGAAGTATTCAAATTATTGTTTAACTAGATATTACAGAAACAGTGCAATTTAAGCCAAACAGAACTCGATGGGCACAAACGAATGTATTGTATTCATAATTCATGATCAACCAGGAATCAACTACAAAACAATCATTAGTTCATACAAACACCACAACTATTCAAATTGGTATCTCCCATAGTGTTTTATCAATTAATAATAAATTTTTAGCAGTAAACCTTTTCGTCGAATAGCTACATTATTTACATATATCTTCAAAACCGATTAGTTAGCTGCTTTTGTGATAATGGGTGAAATGAGTGTTAATCCGTCATATTGTTGTAACTGATGTAGTGCCTTTGATTGCGTCGATTACACGTATAAATTAATTAAATTGTTTTACAAACGCAATATTGTAGGCAATATACAATTTTAATAATGGTCTTGCATTTTAGCCCATAGCACCTCTCCTACAATTAAATTTGTCTACGGTTAATTATGTCAAACCCCTCAACTAATTTATTTAACAGACAGCTTTATTCGAACATTAACAATTTATCTAGTTCTTTGAACTATTTTTACTACTATCATGTCTGTATGAACATGCAAGCTTGATCACATGTGACAGCCTACGCACATATCCCTCTCTCTCCAACTTAAATGTTAGTTGCATAAATATCGCTCGGTGAATCGTTCGCTTTCCCATATTACATATGTGCATGAATCCTATTAATTGATTCTACTCTGAGTGCGTCTCTGTATTCGCTTGCTCGCGCGCATTAGCTTTTCTGTTCAAATTCGCTTGGTGTGCTTGTAGCTTTGTGATCTGCGCTACTCAATAATAAACTTTAGTCGGCGCTTTGTATTGCCTTCTGAATTCAGAAACCGTCAGGATTTGTTTAACAACGGTTATCAGGGTGATTGATAAACGAATCTTAAGGAATTATTTCGAAGCCAAGCCACTACTAGCGTATGCTACAAACATCTATGCAAGCTTCTGTATTTAGATAGTGGAATTATGGATGTCATGATAGTTTTATCCAGGTTTATGGGCACCTGAAAATGGTAACATATTTTATGTGTTTGGTTAAGACCTAGTTACATACGCCATTTCATGCCTTGTTTCACAGAAAGTTTTGTTCCGATATTTAATATCGGTTGTAGCTTGATAACTTATTGGGGTGATTAATTGTGATATTTTGAGGACTTCACTTGTTACTTCCCCGTGTATACGGAATGGAGACTAATACTGCCCGATGTAAGGAAGAAGGCAATACTGCAGAAGAAGACTTTATTATCCATCAAGCACTGATTTCCCACTGATTTTAACTTCTGATTAATCATTGGTTCAAAAACTGCATCAAAACCACGCTGAATTATATGGGATTTACTGGTCTGTGTTATATGCAAATTGCGTAATTTGAACTGAAAACTAGCTGATATAAATGAATCAACAAATAAATGAATACATATCAATTTACAACTCCAATGAGCTGAATTGCATTAAATAACAAATATAATAGAACTAAGTTGCATATTTGCTTTTTTCTGACACTTTGCTCTTCAATTTACACGCGTTTAGATAAGGATTGTTGTTAGGAAATCCACATAGCCTGTTCCAGATTGACAGCCGGGCTATCTTATTTTCATAAGACACCTAGGAAACGTATACAAAATTACTAGAAAGATGATATATTCGATTGAATTTATTATTATTATTATTATTATTACTCTTATTATTATTACTCTTATTATTATTACTCTTATTATTATTCTTATCTCCTCTTACCCCATTTCTAGTCTAGTTGACCTTTTATTTTTATATATAAATGTTCTTAACAAGTATATGTGTGATCAGATTGTTCGAAATGTATTGCGCTAATATATCACATAGTTCTGGTAATCTCCGTCTTCTTATTACATTATCGAAACCATATATATTTATGAATGTTAATTGGTTGTAAATAAATTATTGATTGTTTGTGTTTACAACCAATGAGAGAATAAATGAATATTGAAGTGCAGACATGAGCTCAATAAAACTCACACATTAATTTATATACTGGAATAGATGCTTAAATTACATTGTACTGCACAAATAATACAATAGTTCAATGGGTTCACTACAAAATAACAGGTATGTTTAATTTACCAATTAGTCTGTTTTTCATAACTATTATATTTCAATTTGGATAACAGTATTCATTTTTATCAAAGAGAATTGAAATGTGGTTTGAATATATTTCATACATCCAAATAAACAGTTGAGTAAAAATGAATCATCAACAAGTCCGTTGTAATTTATTTATGACTAATTTTATAAATTTTTAAATTGTATGGAAACGTCTACATAAAATTGCTTTCCGTAGATTACTTCTAGCTTTGTAAGAACATCCCTATCTCTGTTGGTTTCATTTCTTCTTTCGGAATACGAGCTCCATCTGGAAGCTATAATGATTTCTGGAAGATTATGACATCTAATCTTAAAGCCTCGAGGATATGAATGAAAAAGACAAGCATCATTTGATTTTGAACATTCAAATCGAGACAGCATTGTTGTGACCCTAAATTCACTTCACGTAAAATTCTAATATATCGGGTAAATTCACGTTGACTAATTATCATACCTAACGTGAAGATGATTCAGCGATACTCATGTAATAAAATACTTATGGCAGTTACTATTCTAACATGGAGTTTCTGACTAATGTCAATATGCAACGGAATTAGCATGTTTATCTGCTCGTATCTCTTCACTAATCACTGTGATAGTGAGCATTAGTTTTGGATATTAGAAATTATGTTAGTGGAAGGTTGATCAACGTCAATAACCATTAAGTTTCAGTGAATGTAATAGGAATGGGGATATCGAAGAGTGATTCTTATCATCCTACCAATACTGAGAAACTGGCAAACGTTATTGTTATTTAACACTAGATGTATTATGATGAAAACAGGAAGATAATTGCCAGATGTTTCTCCTAATTGATTCATTAAATTTTGTCAAATACATAAAAATAGTTAGTACTAAAGTGACTAAATGACCACTGAAATTAGTGTTCAGACAAAATACTCATTCTGTACACACGTATTCACATGTAAAACCGACTAATATCTAAACATTTTTAAAATTTGCGTTAAAATGAAATGAGCAAATGACGAACAGTAATTGTCATAACTTATTTTATACCAGCAACATAGATGAAGCTATTCAGTCACGAAATTGGTTGATTTCCCACAGTTTCATTCACTAGCTGTTGTTAGCTAGACAAAACACTGAAATCTAAGAAGCTCTGAGTAGTTGGTCCGTTATAGTATAACCCTCCGCATAATTGCTAACTTACTTACAGAAGATCGAATCAGGCATTTCGTCAATTCCATTTCCTCATGAAGCGTGTTAGGCGTTTAGTTGTACTGGCAGTTCAACTTGCAATCATAGTATGCACAAGTTATCAACTGACAAAATTACTTTTTCAATTTAAATGGAAGGAACAATTCGGCTTATCACGAAATGATGATGGTTTCTCCTACAATGTATTACCACGTGAAAGTTATTCAAGTTCAGCGCGTAATTCAAATCAGACCTATTATATTGCATCACAAATGACGAGGTATGAAAATAAAATTACACTCGGATTTACTGAGAAAGATCTTGAAAAATTATATGAAGTGAAATCTACTCCATCTGCCGTGAGTTTTTTAGAATGACTTTTCTACTAGATTTTGATGGTAATTGCTTCAGTTGACAGGACTTCTCATTTTGTTCTATACATTGTATCATAATCACTCTGACCCTATTTTTGCTTAACAATACGAATGAATTAATCACGATCTTCTTATTTCAGACTATCTTTTTTTACCTAATTATGATATTGCATACACTCAAGTTGTACTGATGTTCTGGTTGTTTAGTCAGCATTATTATGAAAAAGAAATTTCTGTGTCTGTTTATCAATCAGAGTTGGACACAATTTCAATTGAACTAAAACTATATTAGCAGTAAATAATATAAGGTCAGGAAGCATTAAACTAAGTTGACATCCCAGCTTCAATCGTCGAAGCAGCGTCACATATTGTTGGGACATTAAAACCACTCAATATTCTCGGCTTTATTCAAGTCACTAGATTTCAGAAAGCTTACAAGTTTTCATAATTCATATTAAAATAGGTGTCAATACAAGAAATCTTCATACTCTTGGAAGTGTTATCTAAAGGTCTCTTCCACAAAAATAATCAAATTGACAGCGGTCTGCAGTGGTCTTTTACCACAAGAAAATACAAATGTAGAATATTCTCTATAATAACTTGTTATCAAGCTCTACATTTATACAACCGCTTTATTATTCAAAAGATGCAGCCAACTTTAAGACAAATGGATATTTCGTAATCAGGTTTGTGAAGCTACAATAGTTTGCAGATGCTGAAATGACTAATATGCAGCGTTGTCTTAAGTCAACTTTTGAATGGAATGCAATTGTGAGACCAGCGATTTTAGTTCAGTTTTAAGCTAGTAAAGACAAACATAAGATCAATATACTTATTTAGAAAGTTACTACAGCAAGTTTCACTTTCATTGAGATTGAAAGATAAAAACAGATAATTATACGACACCGTACTAAACTTCTACTTATCATACCTCATAAGTCATAATTGTCAAGTGAACTTCTCTAGAAATAAAGTCTATGGATTGTGTATTGTTGTCAGACTTGTCGTGCACTCACAACTTTTAATCTTATCTAAATGAAAATAATTACCAGTACTTACTAATGTTTACGGATATTTTAAAGTCTGATGTAGGTATTATCACCAAAATTCTATCGTTCTGTATAGCCTTCGCTTATTCGAATGAAGTATCTCTTCGGTTAATTGTATTTTGCAGAGAAAAATAATTCTCAACTATGGAAACCTTCGTATCAATATTATTCGAAACTTCTCCTTATGTTTCGCTTGTGATTGTGAACTGATTTTCGACAGATCAAGATGGCTTGAAGCCGATGTTATAATCTTGACAGATCACCTGCATCCTAAAGGTCCAAGACCACCAAATCAGCTATGGTTCATTTTTGTACATGAACCTCCCCCAAACATTAGAATCGCTGATGGATTGGAAAATGAAGTGAGTTAAAAACTTTCGACTTACTTCAGATATTGGGAAATGTGAAAGCATTCGTCAATACGTCCTCTGGTTTCGTCAATTGCATGTGAACGGCCTTAAAACCTGCATTGAATCCTATTAAGTAAAATTTATCAACAAATTCATTAAAAGTAGAATATCAGATGAAACATCCAAGTATGGTTTTTAGCATAAGGTGGCTTGTTCAAAATTTGTTATTTATTATTTGTAACTCAAATGATATTGAGACATTAGTTTAGAACAATAGGACACTATTGAGTAATAATGAGTTTCTACTTGTTTATTCACTGACTAGAATGAAACAATTCAACTTCAGACCATTTATGGAAAAAATCAAATCACTATAAAATTTTAAGTGAAAGCTCATTTCAAATGAGCAACTAGATATTCTGTATTTACAATTCTGGAATTACGTAAAAGTCCTGTAACTAGACAGTTTGTCAAACACCCAAGACTGTCATTCCTTCGAAAGTTTTGGTTAGTGAAACAAACCACTCAATCAGATGGTGGGAACAAGAGGGTTGGTAACAGTGAGGCCTCGAGATAAATAACACTTGATCTATAAATATGTTCAAGAGTTTACTCATATCCTGGAAACCAAAACAGAACAATATTTTCAAACTGAGGATAAGTTCGGAAACTAAAGAAGCATTAACAACTCAGAGATTAACTTGAACGAATATCTCACTGTGATGTCCCAAATATTTTTCAACATCCAGTGGGTTTATTATTACTTTATACATGTGCCACTGTGAAGCATGTGAATTCAAAAGTGTGCAATTTGTATGGGGTGATATTTTAATTCAATTCCAATTTTAGACGCCTTATCTGACAATTACCTAGTCGCGCAAACTTTAACTGCATATATATCGGTAAAACTGTATTACATCAAGAATAATGTCAATAATATTACGAAATTTACAGTCATCTACATCAATATCCATCTCCTGAGACATTGCAGTAACAAACATATATGTATTTTGCTTTATTTCAAAATAGACCTTAATGAAATCGTATAATATACAACTGTGCGATACTGTCTTTAAAAACATTGAAGTGACAATGGTAAGGTTTGGAAGTATTTACTTCGTAGTTTCATGACTGCTTCTTAATAACGATGTGTATCATGGATTAAGTTTATCCTGATTAGTTGCAAAATATTTTCGCTAATAAGAAATCATGCACTGACACAAACGACTCGATGCAAGAGGAAAAGCATTCATGAGACATGAGCGCTCATAGTTCGATAAAATGTCCCGGTTTGACGCGGCTTAATCCTTTTTCAAAGGATACCAAAAACAATCATTTACTGGAAAACATCAACTCTCGATTTAGTAGTTACCAGTATATGACTAGACTGTGGAAATATTTTTCGTATTGGCATTTTAAAATTATTCTTCACATATCTAAATGTTTAGTATATTTTGGTGTTTTTCACTCAGGTCAACTACACAATCTCTTATCGAATGGATTCAACAATTTATTTACCGTATCACAATTATATCCCATATGTTGCTAGTCATGGTCCAGATACAAAATACGTACTTCCTTCCCGTAATTATGCCACTGGTAAATCTAAAATGGTAGCATGGTTTGTAAGCAACTGTCAACCTAAAAGTCCGAGAATGATTTACGTAAACGAGTTATCTCGTTATATTCAAGTGAGAACCCAGATTATATAGTTACCGATTTCATTTCATATGTTTGCCTACAATGGTTCCAATACATAACAAGCTCAAACGACAACACGATTTTAAGACTTATATGAAATATTTTAGTGCTGTATTTCAGGTAACCTTTTTCATCAGATCAAAGCACAAGTTAAGAAGTGGATGGAGCATAAATTAGCCTCGTTGGTTAGATTATTGTAGAGATTTTCATCAATTTGTTTAGTCCAAGAATAGTGTGGTCATACAGACATACAGCATGCCACATGTATATAAAAATGGTGTGAGCAAAAGCTGATTGAACAGTGAGAAGACATTGTTAATCTTTTTGTTCTACTAAAATTCATAAAACAACTCATTGCTTTAATAGTTAGTAACTCATTCATCAAAATAGTTATTAGTATAGTGCGTAAAACATTTATTACGCAAACGATTCATACAAGAAAGAGACTAAGTGAGTACGAGTCTGCTGCAACGTATTTATAATTTTGAACCTTATCTACTTATTATGCTTTGAACTTTCCACTGATTCTTTGAGATTTACCATAACATTCATCTATCACTGATTCTATTTACTGGATCCAAAGTTCATCAACTGCTAGGTCACAAATAATGACTGTCATTAAATGACTCTCACGATAATTTTCATTTGCCATATGGATTGTTATTGAGCCAATTTGTGTGTCGAAATTAAGTGAATTTACATACTTTAGTGATTGTTTTCAATAGATATTAGGAACGTACCATAATATCGACAAAGTATAAAGCTGGGATTTCGACTTCGTCGTTAAATTCAAATTTTCTGTAGTCTGACGCGTAATAAATCTGAAAAGCGATGTTCATGGTAGTGATGACCATCACATCAGCCGCATAGTAAGTGCTCACTTTTCAGTTTGATCACTCACTGAATGGCGGTCATTGCTCCAGATACATATGTGTATTGTCCTGTTGATAGTTATAGGCATTGCAGTTGTCGATTTTGACTATATGCTTCGTAACATTAGAAGTAAGATGACACATGAAAGTAAAACCTTCCACATTCATAAATACCTCATTAACCCTCTCTCATCTCACACATTTCCCCAGCTTGTTTACAATTGAGAACATCAAGTTCACTTTGGAAAATTTCTGAATTTTTTATAAATAACCAGTTTATACTTATATATACAATAAATATTATTCATCAAATCGACCTCTTGAATTTGATTTTGTGTAACAATGTTCGTGGTCGTTATAGCCGACTAGATTCCATAACATATTCTGATATCCTGTTGCAAAATATTTCTGTTTATTACTTATTTTGTAATTACCAGGTTTCTTCCAATGCTGAAGAAATAAATTGCTTTTTCCTTGATTTATTTCATAGGTTGATATTTATGGTGGGTGTGGTACAATGACATGTCCTAGAGAAGTCGATGCTCAATGTTTTTCTCTACTTAGAAAGCATTATAAATTCTACTTGAGTTTTGAAAATAGTTTATGCCCTGATTATATTACGGAAAAGCTTTACGGAAATGCACTAATGTAGGTAAACAATGAAATTTTAATAATATTGTTAACTGTTTACTACATTTCCAACATCTTTCAATTGATAGCTGAAGTGTATTATCTCCATGTGTTTGACGTGGAATTTGATGAACATACTATATCATTTGCTGTTTCTCTACTAACTCTCGACCAACAAAGTTACTTAGAGTTGTACCAAATATTCAAAGAGCTAAATAACATAGATGAATATGTTTTAGAGTGTGTGAAATTGATTTGTTGGATGAGTGCAGTACCGTAATTATTCGATGACAACAATACATCAAAATTGATGAAGTCTAGTCAGTTTCAACAAGACACACCATGTTTTTAGTAGACTGTGACATATCACTCATTTTCAAAAGATAGATCAGGGTTACTTACCTACGCCTGTTACTCCTAATGGAGCATAAGCCGCCGACCAGCATTCTCCAACACACTCTGTCCTGGGCCTTCTTTTCTAGTTCCATCCAATTCTCGTTCATTCATCTCATGTCACTCTCCATTTCCCGACGTAATGTGTTCTTTGGTCTTCCTCTTCTCCTTCAGCCTTGAGGATTCCATGTGAGGGCTTGTCTTGTGACGCAGTTCGGTGCTTTCCTCAATGTGTGTCCTATCCATTTCCAGCGCTTCTTTCTGATTTCTTCCTCCGCTGGGATCTGGTTTGTTCTCTCCCACAGTAGGTTGTTGTTAATAGTGTCTGGCCAACGGATTCGAAGTATTTTGCGTAGACAATTGTTAATAAACATCTATATCTTCTGGATGATGGATTTCGTAGTTTTCCAGGTTTCCGCCCCATACAGTAGAACTGTCTTGACATTTGTATTGAAAATCCTGACCTTGGTGTTGGTTGATAGTTGTTTTGAGTTCCAGATGTTCTTCAGTTGTAAATATGCCGCTCTTGCTCTGCCGATCCGCGCTTTCACATCTGCATCAGATCCACCGTGTTCATCAATGATGCTGCCCAAATATGTAAAGGTATTTACGTCTTCCAAATCTTCTCCGTCAATTGTGATTCGATTGTTGCATGTTGTGTTGTATCGGAGAATCTTGCTTTTCCATTTGTGTATATTGAGACCTACTGCTGCTGAGGCTGCTGCTACACTGGTCGTCTTTTCCTGCATTTGTTGTCGCGTGTGCGATAGGAGAGCCAGATCATCTGCGAAGTCTAGACCATCCAACTGCATCCTAGATGTCCACTGTATCCCATGCTTCCCTTCAGATATTGACGTCTTCACGATCCAGTCGATCACCAGGAGAAAGAGAAAGGGTGAGAGTAAGCAACCTTGCCTGACACCGGTCTTTACTTCGAACGAGTTTGTCAACTTTCCTCCATGCACGATTTCGCAGTTTAATCCATCATAGGAATTCCGTATGATATTTACTATCTTCTGAGGCACGCCGTAGTGTCGAAGAAGCTTCCATAGTGTTGTTCTGTCCACGCTGTCGAATGATTTTTCGTAATCAATGAAGTTGATGTAGAGCGATGAATTCCATTCAATTGATTGTTCTACAATGATCCGTAGAGTTGCGATTTGATCTGTACACGATCTATCCTTACGGAATCCTGCCTGTTGGTCTCGAAATTGGGCGTCTACAGAGTCCTTCATCCTATTTAACAATACTCTGTTGAAGACGTTTCCTGGTATTGACAGAAGAGTGATTCCCCTGTAGTTATCACACCTGGTGAGATCACCTTTGGTATTTTGTCCAGAAGTTCTTCTTTCCAGTCTGTTGGTACTTGTTCCTCATCCCAAATCTTATTGAGAAGAATGTGGAGTATCCTTGCAGTTACCGCTACGTCCGCTTCCAGTGCCTCTACTGGAATGTTATCTGGTCCTGCTGCTGATTTGCCACACTTGATTTGTCGGACGGCCATGCTGATTTCTTCAATTGTTGGTGGGCCAACATCAATTGGGAGGTCCGTGAGTGCTGCTTCGATGTAGGGTGGGTTCAGTGAGTCTGGTCGATTCAAGAGTTCTTTGAAGTGTTCTACCCACCTGTTTCATTGTTCTTCAATGTTAGTGATTACCTTTCCTTCCTTGCTTTTCACTGGTCGTTCTGGTTTACGGTGATTTCCAGAGAGTTTCTTTGTTGTGTCATACAGTTGTCTCATGTTTCCTTCTCTGGCAGCCTTTTCCGCCGTCATCGCTAAATCTTCCACATATTTACGTTTGTCGGTTCTGACGCTCCTCTTCACTTGATTGTTTACTTCTGTGTATTCAGCTTGTGCCTTTGCTTTTTCTGCTCTTGTTTGGCTGGTATTGATTACCGCCTTCTTGTTCCTCCCTTCTTAAGTCTTAGCCAGTGTATCAACAGTGATCCAATTCTTGTGATGGTGCTTCTTCTTGCCAAGAACCTCATGACATTTTGAAGTGATTGCCTCTTTTATCTCTTTACAGTTGCTCTCCATAGTAGTTCCTACTCCATTGAGTAGATCATGAAAGACCTGGAACTTATGGGTGAGGGCTATCTCGAATTCGTTGAGTTTGTCAGTATCCCGAAGAAGAGCCGTATTAAACTCTTGTGATATTGTCCGCCCCATTGTCCAGTGCTTCTTGAGTTTCAATTTCATCTTGGCGACCAGCAAGTGATGATCTGATGCTATATCAGCTCCTCTCTTGGTTCTAACGTCCTCCATCGTCCACCTGAACTTTTAGTTGATGCAGATATGGTCAATTTGGTTTTGCGTAGTGTGATCAGGTGAAGTCCATGTGGTTTTGTGTATGCATTTGTGTGGGAATATCGTGCCACCTATGACCAGTTTATTGAAGACACATAGATTTGCACATCTCTCACCATTTTCGTTCCTTTCTCCGAGTCCGTGTCGTCCCATGATGTCTTCATATCTGATGTTGTCCATTCCAACCTTGGCGTTTAAATCTCCCATCAGAATGGTCAAGTCCTTTGTTGGGCTCTTCTTGACGATTGACTGCAGCCCATTGTAGAATTGATCTTTAGCGTCTTCATTGTAGTCGTTGGTAGGCGCATAACATTCGATGACGTTCATTGTAATCCCCTATTTTTTGTTTTGAAGGAGGCTTTGATGATCTTTGGTCCATGAGATTCCCATCCTATAAGTGCATTTTGTGCTTGTTTGGACAGCATCAATGCAACTCTTTGTGTATGTGGGGCATTTTCTTCCTTATGACCGGAGTATAACAACAGCTCCCCTGAAGCTGGTCGTTGTTGTCCAACTTGCGTCCAATGCGTTTCACTGATCCCAAGCACCTCTAGGTTGGAAGACTCTCCCGGTCTCCCACATTGTACGAGCATTCCATGTGCCTAAATTAATGGTTGCCCTGGTTTTCACAAAGGGATATCAGCCTCGTGACTTCCGACGGAACTCTGCTTTCAACATGAGGCATCATAACTCTTCTAAATGAAGACCTTCTAACTCCCATGGCCGAGTGAATATGAATTGAATTATTTTTTCAGGTTAGCGTCTATTAGCAAGTTGGCTTTCTACGGGATGGGGTCGCTAACCCCATGCTCAACCCTCCTCTTTTATCTGGACTTGGGACCGACAGTAGTCCTTGGAGGGACTCCAGGCGGAGTTATAGATCAGGGTGGTTAAGTGTAATTATCTGTGATGAATAATTTATTTTCTCTCACTTCATTTGTCATTCCCATCACCTCACTAAAGCATTCAACTGTTGTATCTGGTTTGTTTGATTAACATAGCAACAATGTAATTCCAGTTGTGATGGGTGCCTCATATGAAGAGTACAAGCGTGTCACTCCACCTCATTCATTTATTCATGTGGATCAGTTTGAATCCCCAGAAAAACTTGCCAACTATTTGAAGTATTTGGACAGAAACGATACTGCATACAATGAGTACTTTGCATGGCATGAACATGGGACCATAGGTGCTTGGTCGCCTTTACCTCAATGCGCTATATGCTTATTAGCACATACTGCTCATAAACTGAAAACGTATACATTCCCAAACGTTTCGAAATGGTGGAACGATGCTTGTGTTGGTCGTAAAATACGCTGGAATCCTATCCATTAGCAATCTTTTACAGTTTTGAATAACACTTATATCACAGGTAATTGTGATTTTGACTCTGTATAATGTAAAGTGATTACGATTTTATTAGTTTGTTATTTTTATCAAAAATTCACTCAAAACTATTTATGGGATACTTTAGACAGAATAAAATGTGTTCGTTAATATTTGCAGTTTATTGTCTTTACAACATAAATTTATAACCAGCATAATCTATTTAACAGCAATTATATAGTATACAAATTGTTTAAATTTTAATGAAATTGTAAAACTATCAATCAATATAATTCAACAATACATCCTTTTCACAAAATGAACTTTCTATTCAAATATCTTCTAGAAATAAAAACACGTTTTTAACAAATGTGATGTTTTACTCTTCTGTTCTATATTTGTTCTCCGATAGGAATGTTTGCATTGATTGTTAACAAGAAACTTTGTGGAATGTTTGTGGTTTATTTTGGCAAACTCTTGTTTTTATGAAGAACGTCAGTCCATTATTTAACTAACAAATGGGTCATGGTCACAATACGACAATTAGAAAAAACAATGAAACAGGATGACTAAAACTTATATTAAATATTTGTTTAACGTAAAAATCGAACAATGGAGAAGTAGGTTTTTACAACAAGTTAACAAAGATACACCTAATTACAATAAACAATAAATGCCAAAATATCATGTTGAGGTGAAAATTAGACAATCGGCTAATCCTTTAATTTATTCATACCCGATTGTGACCCAAGAAAGAAGATGAAAAGAGTGACTGATAACCGACCGACTGAGCACAACTTGTGTATTCCTAAACTTATATGGTCTCCAGAAAGTGAATGTTTACTGAATCGTTGATTTGTTCAGCTTAATATTTTATCGATAAGCAACAGTCGTGCTGAAGGTTTGCAACAACCTAAACATCAGTTGAATTAAATACCTTGGGTAGTCTCATTCCATTATTAAATGTCACTACTTACAACTGAGGTCAGTTTTCACCATATGGTTAACCCTCTTCAAAAGTTGCCAATGTATCTCAGCACTGAAGCTCCCTTTTCACATAGACTGATTTGGTCGCAGAAATAGGAAATTATTTCGAAACGCTAAATACACTGAAATGCTCCTCGAATTTCAGGAAGTTTCCGATCACTCGATATGTCGTAATGCACACAACTTAAGATAAAATTGTTATTAAGTACTTTCACATTTATTATTGCTAGAATTGTTTATGAGTTAGATGACCAACAGATGATAGAGTGGGAAGACAAGAAAGTCGATTTATAAAATTATCAAATGACTGATGATTGATTATCATTGACTGAGTTGACTGAATATGACTGATGCCTAAAAGTATTCTTAGAAACGACCGACACTTGTTACAGACACATCAGTAAGAAAGCTGATGGAATCGTTGCAATGCTGTAGAAAATGAATTCTTAAGAATGGCTAGCCAATAATATTGGAAGTGCTTCAACGTAGCTTCGTAACTAGTGAGCAGGTATCTTGTAAAATTAAATTCGTTGCTTGGCGATAAATGTGAGAAATCTTTAAAGTTTGCTAACTACAATATGTATATGCGACGATGTGTGTCATTCATTCACGCTTGTTTTCTCGTTTGATAAAAAAAGAATTCACAATTTTGTCAATCTATTCACAGGAGACACTGCATTTATTTACATACGGATGTAACTCATTTGCCTTGGTTGTTATATTAAAATGACCAACCACAAAAGCCGAATATTTAACACCCAACTGGCTTAGCATCATCGGTGAGACTATTTATTCAAAGTTTACCACATTATAGTCTAGGGTTGATCAAGTTAATAAACAGTGGTGTAGTTTCCAGAGTTCCTAGTGGATTATTTCTAGAGAAATTATTTTAATTCAAATCCACGATTGGTTGGAAGACAACGATCGTGTAGATAATGGCCTCAAATCATGATCAAATTGCATCTTTCCCTGCATATTTCAAAACTGATTTTCAGTCAATAACCGTAATATCATAAATGCAGTTTTATTAGAATACATGATAAATTATTATACATAATTCATTTAAGGTTAAAATTTTGGGTGCATTTGACAACAGAAAACTACTAATGAATAAATCATGTGGGTTCTTCATAACGATCATAAACATCAGTTCACTACATCTTTATCTCATTATCACATAATTATTTTCTCAAAGGTTAGTTCATCCAAAAATATCATGATAATCCCGCATATTTTATTCCATCATACTGTTGTATCAAAATTTTATGGCTTCTT